TGGAGATGTAACCTCTCCAACGTGTCCTGGGTCGACCCGGGGGCCTCCTGCCAGCAGGACATGCCCGAAACACCTCCCCAGGTAGGCGTCCAGGAGGCATCCTGACCAGATGCCCAAACCACCTCAGCTGACTCCTTTCGATCCGGAGGAGCAGCGGTTCTACTCCGAGTCCCTCCCGAATGTCTGAGCTCCTCACCCTATCTCTTAAGGCTGAGCCCGGCCACCCTACGGAGGAAACTCATTTTGGCCGCTTGTCTCCGCGATCTCGTTCTTTCGGTCATTACCCAAAGCTCATGACCATAGGTGAGGATTGGGACGTAGATCGACCGGTAAATCGAGAGCCTGGCTTTCTGGCTCAGCTCCCTCTTCACCACGACAGATCGGCTCAGCGTCCACATCACTGCAGACGCCGAACCAATCCGCCTGTCGATCTCCCGATCCCTCCTACCCTCACTCGTGAACAAGACCCCGAGATACTTAAACTCCTCCACTTGAGGTAGGACCTCTCTCCCGACCCGGAGTTGGCAAGCCACCCTTTTCCAGTCGGGAACTTTAGGACCGCTTTCCCCTAAAATGACTGGTTTAGATATGATGAGTTTTTCTTCAAAATAAAACGGTACGAGCAGAAAAATTTATATTTAATACATAATTCACAGTTCTTAAGGACTTTTCTCACACATATACATCTCCATTCCTACAAATTAAACTTGAAAACGTAGAAAATTGTGCAAAAGTTAATTTATTTCAGTAATTCATCTTGAAAGGTGAAACTAAAGATATTTGTCACATGCAAAGCCAGATATTTCAGGCATTTGTTGTAATTCTGATGACTGTGGCTATGAAAACCCCAAATTCAGAAAGTGTTTCTATTGTCAGACACATTAAGAGAGAGCAAATACAAGTTACAAAGATAAAGTCTGTGGTAAATAGTAAATTGAACATATCTAAATAGCACTCGGTGTTCACTTCCTTCAGGATCAGAGACCTGAGCAGTAGTGACTCGTGCGCTGTTTCTATCGATGTGGCCAGAAAGCTGTTTAGTCACCGTAGGGACTTGCCTGCCCACAAATGGAGAGTGTGAGGAGGAGTGCTTCAAAGCTGCACATAACTGAGTAGAGCTAACTTATTTTCTCCTTGTTTGAGAAGTCCTGGAAGGAAAAGTTACATCATTTATATCAGTTTTCAGCTTCAGCTTTTGTTTTTCATAATTCCCAGCCCAAAACCTTCTCAATTTTCAATAAAAAATTGGGGTTTCCAAGCTT